GAGGCTGGTGGAGACATTAATACTAGATTCAGTTCACTTTAGTATTGTTCTTACATTTTTAAATCCTCTGTAAAGCACTTGAAGTTCTCTTTTAGTGAAATTGGTTTGTGCTTCAAGCTGTTCCAGTCCTTCGGGTCTGTGGCACACTGTAGTCATTTCTAATTCATCTTCAATTTTATCTGAAAGAGAAGACAGCAAAAGATTTAGCTAGGTTGTTACCTTTGCTCTATTAACTGGATGGTTAGGACAAACTGGATTTCAAGAGCAACAGAGAAAAAAGAAACCATCCACAGAACTGATCTGTGTAACTCTTTTCAACCTCTTGAAAGCAAAATACAAACCATGTGAGTAAAGCAGCAACTCACATTTCTCACTGGGCTGCCAATTAGCTCCCCATTCACAAAGCCAGAACTGGTGGTGAGAACAGAAGGGCAGGCAGCAGATATGTTGCTCCAAAAGGCAACACCAGGCATTTCTTATCTAAATATTGAAACAGTGTGGAGGGATGGGCCCTTTAAAGAAAGCTGTGCAAATCTAAGTGAGAGCAGATGTGCTTAAACATATGACAACAGCGTTATACTGAGGGCAAACAATGAGAAAAGTCTTCTGTGTGCTAACCAAAAAGCTTGCTATAGAGACACTAAAGGTCACTTTAATCCTAGGAGAAATTCAAATGATGCCAACAATTGTGAATCAAATGAATCCAGCCTGCATTTCTATGGACTTTTTGGGGACGCAGATACACTATGAAAAACACTGCTATGCATTTTATTCAAGAGAATGTTCTCCCACAAGGAATGAAAGGATTCAAGACATATCCCATCCCATAGTACCATAATCTCACCTCTCTTCTGGTGCATGTTTTTGCCTGTCAAGCCCATCTCTCCAGCAGTGCAGGCAATGCCCAAATATATACAGATGCTTATTGTATGTCAGTTTAAGTTTAAACTCCAAGGAGCAGAGGCAGGATTCAACTGACAAGAAAATCCCATCTACACGTAGAAGCTACTTGGCACAACAGAACAGCTAACACTCCCATCACTATCAAAATTGCACAGTTTTTGCCCTGTAAAAAACATTTTGTTATTGGGCTCAAATGTAATATAGTAATCCCTGCTGAGAAAAGAAACGTGCAAGGAAAAGGAGTCACTCTGACTAGAGGAAATGCATGGATTCAGAGTGGACTGGCTCAGTGAAAGAGCAGACCAGGACAGCTCTTCTCATAAGTTAATCCATTCTCTCCATATATATGAAGGTTATTAACAGAGAACACACATGAGGGAGTGATGATGTTGAATTAACATTGGTTCATTGTTTCAGTATGAAGGAATAATTTGAAATATTGGTGAATTCAGGATGAGCCACCCTTGTAATCCTCTGTGTCCATAGTTTAAGTGACTATCTGTGGGACCTGAGCATTGCAAACGTAAGTGCTAAGGTCCCTTTCACTGCAAGGGACTGTAACATCATGGGAGAAGAGAGTATCACAACCATTTATGATGCACAAAATATTACTTAACACTGGCAAGTGACTAGAAGAGGCCTGAAGGAGATACCTCCACACAAAGGGAAAACAAAGTGTCTAAGAATTATAGCTCCTGTTAAAAGAAGGGAGATGGAAAAGGATGTCTTGTACAGAAAAAAGAATAAATGTGAAATAAGGGGGCAAAATGAATTTTCTTTGAAAGGGAATGCATGCAACAAAATGAAGGATGCAGAAGAAGCTGTAGAGAGACAGAAAAAGTGGGGAAGAAATTCTGTAAAATGAAGGAAGGACAACGGTTAAAAAAAAAAAAAAAGAGGGGAAATCCATTTAGAAGAGAGAGAGGTGAGGGAGTCTCATCACTAATCCATACATTGTACAGGAGCTACCTTTTGGTTTACCTTTGGTTAACAGTAAGTTACCTAAAACCCTTTACAAAATGGATGTAACCCCGGACGCCCTCCCCTGCATTTCCCTGCTGTCCCCCAGTGCAATATCCAGTTGGCACATGACCTTGACAGCTGTTCCATTTTTCCATAGGGAGCCACACACTTTGTGCTGGGCAGTAGCACATAACAAGGCAGGCTTGGAACCTTTCTCTGCTCTGCTAAACTTGACCAGCTTTTCACTGAAATTTCTGATTGACTGAGTCACTCTACAGTCATTTAGAACTGCAGTCATAGTAAAATGTGAGTGTAAAATACTGGCCATCTGCGCTTTATATCCTACAGTAAAATTCAACAAAGAGAAAACAATATCTATGCAACCTCACGTAAGAGGTGTAAACCAGCCTGTTTGATAAATAAGAACATGCTTGGTTTTCCTTAAAATCCTACAATGTTCATGTGGTTTTTTGGGTTATTGTTTGTTTCGTTTCAGTATTTTCTCTTAAGTCAGCTCTTTAAACCTTTTTCTTCCATTATCTGACACCCTATAAATCAACCACAGGAATTTCAGTGGCAAAAAAGAAGGTGGTCACTTGCTCATATGCCCTGTCCTTTTATCATATATTGTATTCCCTCTTATTTACATTTTCATTATCATCCTGTTTCAGTCCAGCTCTTCAGGGATGTCACCATGTGACACTGTTGCACTGTTAACACTTAAAGTTTATTAAACTGAAACCACTTTATGGTGGTGAGTGCAAACAAAAGTGTATATACATGGATACACTTTTAAAATTTAAAATTCTTATTAGGAAAGCCTGATGTTAAGATAGTTTATCCTCAGTTTTTTAAGCTAGCTCTTCCTCAGTTTTGCCTTGTTTACGTCTTGCTGAACACCCTGAGTGATCTGAGCGTGGGAGACAGGCTTGCTGCTGGCTTCATGTTAATCTTCTTTGCCTGCAATCTGCAAGTGCACAAACAGCCCCAGGACTGATTGAAGACATGCCAGAAATGTGCCTGGTCACCTCCCCAGCTCAGGTAACAGGAGTTGGGATACAGCTGTTGCTAACAGCATCCCTTTGGAGCTAGAACTAAGCCCTGCCCAGAGACATCTCAGGGGCTGGGTGCCATACAGCCAATTAGTGACCGCTGCCCCTTAGCCAACAGGCCCAGATTTGTTATGCTAGACCTTGAAGTATGTTTTTTTAAGTTACCTGTGCTTACCAATTAGGTGGACTCAGTAACTAAAGCAGGAGGTTTCTCCTGCTTGCAGGTACTGATAAACAAGTAGTTGTTCTTTTTTGAGCTCCAGCACTTGTTGAAATCATGCCTGGATGAATCCCTTCCACACCAGACAGCTGCAGTGAGGTGTGTCCTAGGCTGAAGATCAAGTGCACTGTTTAGCTGGAGCATAACATGCTAAAAAAAATCTTTCCCTTACCATGTGCTTGAACCTGGAGGAATAGAAGGCAGCACTTGCTGATTTAGAATTTGCCTCTGGCCATATTTTTATGACTGCCTTAATAGCAGGGTTTGAAGTCTGGGTGTGGTACAAGCACTTGTAATTTTACTCCAACACAGATCCAGATTTTAGCATTTCTGTACAAAACATCATCTTTGTTTGCTTATCCTGTAGGGCAGGTGCATTTTGTATATCAGACAAAATAAATAGTGGGTTCACTTTACAACAAAAAAATAATCCTGACATGCTTGCATGCCTATGCATATTTTATAGTTGTTGTTAATGAAAGACATTGTAGTATTTCTCCGCTGCTTTCTCAAGAGCAGAGCATAAATTTTCATTAGAGCAGATCAATATTTTAACTGAATACACTTTGGAAACTACTTATCAAGGCTTGATTTATACATTCTTTCATATTTGTTCTGATTTTACCTTCTGCTATCTTTGCAATTTGAGGATTTCCATACTTAGGCTGCCTGCAAATGGCCCCATGTTCCACTGCTGCGAACTTTCCTGAATAGAATTTGCATCCCTCCAAGTGATAAAGTGGAGCAATTTAAGCCTATTGATGTAGAAGCTGTCTTGTACATCTACATGCCTGTGGACAAAATTGCCTCATCATGGAGGAAAACAGATTTTCAGCCACAGACAAGTACTTCTCTCCATCACAGAACCATGCAGAGGGACTCAGCCCTTCCCTTACCCATGGTAAAGACAAGGAAACTATTGATTGTGAAGGAAAACATCCCTCTCCAGTATTTCACTTTCCCACATCTTTCTGTTCCATTGGGCGCAAGCACATTTATCTGCTGTGTTATGGGAAACAGTTTCACTGTCAACTTCTCTTAGCAATACACAGGCAAGATAATACACACCCAGGACAGCTCCATGACCTCAAGCACTGCCCAAACCCAGTTTCTAACTGTGCAACCCCACTGGAGACCCATCCAGGAACTTGCCAGCCCCACCAGCAGGCAGGAATGTGCCCTGAGTCCCAAATCCCTCTGTTGGCAGCACAGCTTCTCCTGGTCACTCCAGTGATCTATTCCCACACCAAACCATCAAGCAGTACTCTTCAGATCTAACAATTCTTTCTGCTGAACTGGAACAGATGTAGCTGCTCACAGACAGTGCTGCATGTGTGCTATAAACCAGGAAACAACTGTTATTTACCAGCCACTTCCTTAGCTGTAATTCTGACCAGCCATCAGTCTCAAGTTCATTAACCAGCCTGTCCTCCCTCTGCACAAGCAACATCTTGTGCAAAAGCACAGGGTTGGTTTCTGAGCCAAACTCACTTGTGAAATGCAAGAAATATCAAGCACCTTTCCCAGAGCGCCCACCTGAAACACTTGAGCATTTCCAGCTCTCTGTGCCCAGCAAATAGTGATTCCTCATTATGTCATTAGGGCTGGCCAAGGACAACCCAAGGCCTGAAATGTGTTTTAAAGGGAGGGCATAAGTGATGATTTAATAAAAATGCAAATAGCCCTGTTCCCTGCTTCCAAAGGCACCAAGGTGAAAGTCTATAACACCAGGCTCCATGGCTAACAGGAGGATTGTAAAAACATGTTGCTTATAATAAATTCTCTTTTAGTTAAAGAAAAAAATGGAGATGTAAAATACAGCCAGTTTGCCCAGTGTTAATTGCAAAACTGACAGGTATTAGATGAAATGGGTAATCTTACAAATACAGCAGAAGAGGATTAAATTATGTGCAAGAATTATTAGACTGCATCTTATTTTTATTAAAAAAACATTAGGTATATTTTAGGAGCAAGGACCTGAAGAAAAAATTAACTCTAGTTTATTCATGACATCTTTGAAATTAATCACCAGACAGAATAC